CTTTTATCAAAGGAAAATCGTGTCATCATTTTTAGGAGGCGTAAGATAAATCATTTCAAATTTAAAATGAAATTCAATGTAAAATCTGAAATACCGCTGCATACGCACTGTGTTCTGGTAGTAGCTGTAGTCGCCCAGGTGCATCGAGTGTACGAACTGGTCGGTTATACGTCAAATACTAACCTGGCGAGCTTTGCCGTCAATTAGAGAGCGCTTCCAAAAAACAAGTAAACAACAGTGGCGCGTACAGAGGTAAAATGTAGTACATATGTGGAATTTAGGAAACAAATTGGATTTATAATAAATTACATTTAAAATAAATAGTTTATGAGAATAAAGGAATTTTTGTAGGAACAAGGGTGCCAGACCTGAACTGATCCCCTCGTCCCTTCATCATGTATAAAGAAATTATTCAATTTGTAAAACCCTTAAAAGCGTACTTCATTGGTTCTCTTGACAGGCAATGATTTATTACTTTGCATCGAATATGATCCTACTATAGTTTCCACAGTCATAAAAATGGGCGGAAGATTGTTTACATTATACATTATACAATTTATAGATAGAGCTAAGTTAAGTTAAATGTGATTATTTTGATCACAGGAAACTGTATCTCTAAAAGTTCCGTATTTAAACACAGTAACAAGATCATAGTAGATAGGTATCGAATTCAAACACTTGAACATCGGTGATCTCTAACGTTTCAATTGTTTCACTTTGACGCCTACCTACACAGTTCTGTATCGTGATACAGTTGCAATCAAATGTATTAAATATACCTTTAAAGCTCAATTTTAGGCAGGCAACTTGGTAATTTGCTGGAAGAGAAGTAAATGCGCCACATGTCCCCTTATTCCAGGTTTTGGTCTCTGTTTCGCATGTAGGACCCCAGCAAAAGAAGCATTCTAACGCAGAGGCTATAAAGAAGTGAAAAATATTTGAACCATATTAAAGGACTGCGCTGTATAAGTTATTTTACTTACCAGTGTGCAAAATGGCAAAACAGAGGAGGAGAACAATTTTTTGCATTGTCTTGCTATTTAGAATTTTATTCAACTGAGAAAATTTGTTTATTACATAATTGTAGGTCGCAGGTCGATTATTTCTGACGTAGTTATCAAATACTGATTAAAAACTAAACTATTATGAAGAGAGAAAGGTATATAGAATGGTAATCAAAAAAGTAACTCGAAAGAAGAAATGCTAAGTTGGCAAATTGCAAAATCATGTGTTTCTACTTTCTTTACTGCCCACGAAAATCTGGACAACCCATCGGATTATTATGTTGTAGGTAATTAAATTACCTACAATTTAAGGTACCTAAGACCACATTATTCCAAAAAGCGATAGATGTTGATGAAATTTATGGAAAAGACGGTCAATCCCAAGAGCAACATGTCTGCCAAAGCCCGATTCGATTGGCCGTGAAATTAATGCTCCAGGTATTCGTTACTTAATTTCGTTCGTTTTTTTTTTTTCAACTAATTGTTTGATTACTAAACGTTAATTTTAGAAGTTAATATCGTAGATAGAGGTTCTAATTGATCCAAAGAAACGTGTCAAAAAAGAAAAATCTCAAAAAGTTGCAATTAAATAGCCCTTTACAGCTAAAACAGTGGGACGTGTAAAATAGCGTTATAAACAAATTGTCCCAGGGTCAGACAAATGCCGCTCGGGAATTCGCTCTTTTTGCACTAAATAGAGGTCATTTTTACGATAATTTTAAAAACAAGAGAAATCACCTACGCCTCTTTGTTCCCAAGATAACTTTTTTTATATAATGTTACATAATTAATAATACATAATAATACGTTATTCTTTAAGTTTCATCAAGCATTGCTATTTGTGAAAAGATAATGTGGAGTCTTTTATCTTTTTGAATTCTTACTTTTAACTGTGCCTTCTTTTTGTGAAAAAACGGTGTATAAGCTTAATTGCCCATCAATAAATTAATGAACATGAAAGTAACATATGAAGCTGTTGAAACATGCGAGTTGATTGCGTATCTCTGTTTAGTGTGATCTGTTTGAACACTTGGAAGCCAGCCGAGATATCGATGGAGTCAGCGAATCCAAAAATGTTTCTTGGTATTATTTTTCTGTAAATCTAATTTCCCCAATTCTCTAAGTATGTAAACACCACAGACCACCTAGACTGGCCGTATCTAATTCCAATGCACGGGTACCAGTGAATGCAAAATCCGGGAAAGTGGAGTGTGGAAGGCAATCTGATCGCGCGCATCTTTAAGCAGATCCGGATTAAGTAATATTTTTATTACATATTAAACATTATATTGCATCTTATGACAAATATNATATATAACGTTGAAATTTTCTTGAACCTTTTGTTTAATATTAAAATATATTTATTTTCTTGGGAATTGGGTTCTGGTGTGATAGTCAGTTAAAAAAAAAGGATAAAAAACAGCAGCGATTTCTTTCTTGACGTTTCGTTCCTGATCAGGAACTTTTTCAAAAGGCTTTTATTATTAAAATTGTTATAATTAATAAAATTAAAACCTAAACAACAACCATTTTACGTCAAAATTTTAAAAATATGCATCAATCGTCATACAGTGGACATATTTTCATAATATAATATTATCTTTTTCATTTTAAATTTCATTAAATTCATTAAATTTCATTAAATTTCATTTTCATCGTATCCACGTACCACATTGCCGACTAAAAGTATTATGCAGACACATTTACAATATTAAAAAATGCAGGCCTTTTTCAAATTTAAAATGAAAAAAGAAAATATTATATTATGAAAATATGTCCACTGTATGACGATTCATGCATATTTTTAAAATTTTGACGTAAAATGGTTGTTGTTTAGGTTTTAATTTTATTAATTATAACAATTTTAATAATAAAAGCCTTTTGAAAAAGTTCCTGATCAGGAACGAAACGTCAAGAAAGAAATCGCTGCTGTTTTTTATCCTTTTTTTAACACCAGAACCCAATTCCCAAGAAAATAAATATATTTTAACATTAAACAAAAGGTTCAAGAAAATTTCAACTTTAAATAAATAGATATACCTAGTGGAAAATTGAACGTTTTTTTTTTCGGAAACGATTAAAATTCTATGTTGATATTTAACATTAAATCGTTTTTTTTAAATTCGCTTTTAAACTCAATGATTTTTTAATATTTACGACGTTTTTCGTAGATGCAGTTTGCTATCAGTAACAAGTGTACCATTTAGAAAAAAATTTGGATAGTCAAAAAGATATGCCAAAATATTAATTTTCAATATAAATAACTGAGATTTTTTTCATAAATACATATATTTTACTGTTTAACCCCATTAATTTGTGTTTTCGAAAACGTATCATTACTTGTATAGTTGTTACGATCTCAATTGGAACCGCATAAAAACGTTTAACTCATAAATTCTACGGAATCCATAGACGTCCAGAAAGATTTAGCCCTGTCTCGTCTAGATATACTATATTCCAAGCTATATTACCATATAATTACCATACGATTGTCAAGTTTTTTATGTTTAAAATCGCATTGTAATAAACCAGGTCGTAAAATATCTAAAGATTTATAATTATAATCAGGATAATCGCTTAATTTATCTCGAGTCGTGTTTAAAGTAGGAACTTTATTTTCTTTATATAAATTGTGCGCCGCATTACATCTGGTAACATTGTCAATTTTCTTTAATTTTATATTTTACCGTTTCCTCTATGTACCCTGATCAATCCTTCTTTAATTACGCCATGCAATGCTCTGCACGGCACTGGCAAAGCGGCAAAGCTAAGTGAACCCGTTTATCATAGAAAAACATTATTTACGACTTATTGAACCAATACAGATTTGCTTTGATGACCAGCGCGCCACCGTCAATTCTACGTCAGGCGGACTAGTTTACCAATACCGGACTCGCCGAATTGCTATTCGAGCATAAATTACGAGACACATCGTGGTCAAAGCATAAAAAGAAATTTCAGGAGAAGTGCGGTCCTGTGCTTTAAGATTTACAGGTTCCAATTGGCATCGTAACAACTATACCATTATTTCATGAGTAAAATCATTCCTTAAAGTATGTTTATTATGTCTGGATCTAACAGAAAGCAAAATATAAATCTCTAATAATTATTGTAATGTTAAACTGAACATGTTTGTTCGTTTAAAAAGAAAACTTATCCTTGTTAGTATATTCCACATTTATTTACAAATATTTATAAAACACCACTGTAGAAAATCATTTTATTAAGATGATAAGTAAAATTATCAATGAAATTAAACATTTAATTTCAGTAATAAACAATACACATCAAGTTTCGTTAAAAAAATATCGTACTACGGACATTCAAACCTATAATAAAAGTAAACACAGTTAACGAAGACATATACACGGCTTGTAGGACTTGAACACCTGGTTTGTTTTTCAAAGCATCATCCATTTCCCACGAATCATACAAGCGAAGAGGTGGGGTAATTTTACAAAAGTTTGGGCACAGCGATTGCCAAAACAACACCGCAAAGTACCACAAAGCTGAAACTGATACTTTTCGCAGAATTACATAAGTCAGTTTGACATAGAGGACACTCAGCTTCGTCACCGAAACTTTGACAGTCGTAGCTTGGTTTTCCGTCTTTTAATTCGACCAAAGCGCATTTCCTTATCACCATCATCTCCTGTGTTGTCTTATCTACAAACAGCAAATTAATATTACGGATACTAAAAAGTTGTTTTGTATGTATTTAGTACATAAAATTATATCTCTAAAAAGTTTGTAGGTATTTGTTTAATTAATTAATTAATTTATTTTAGAATTACACCATCCAATGACCAATTATTGGATGGAAACTAAAAAAAAACCATTATAAATACAGCTAACGAATACAGAAAATTAAATACAAGTCACAGACAAAATAGCTATAAGCTATATTGTCTGTGTACAAGTCTACAAACAAAGAGATTAAAATGGCAATCAACACATAAAACAGTGAATTGTTAAATGGTAAAAACAACAATATTTTTTATCTTGCTTGCATTTGTACAAAAATGTCTAACATTGCTCTACAATAATTGTAGGTATTACAAATAAAATGTGAAGCGGAAATTCGTGAGGAAAAATATTGGTTCTAAGAGTGGGTAGGTAAAACATGTTCGTATGTCTAGAAGAAATACGAGGTAAGGAAAGCGTTAGTTTTTCTAATATTGGAAGATAATCAAAATCATTTTTCAATAAATTTAACAAATATACCGCAAAAGAATATGAGCAATCTTTAAAAAGGGTAACAAGGTCGTAGCAATGATAGTAGTTGAATGTCAAAATCAAAGATCTACCTATAAATCTAACTGCTACGATGTTGCCACACTGTGAATCATAGATAACTGTGAATAAAATGTTACGATTAAATGTATTATATACCTTTATAGCTCAACCTTAAGCAGGCAGGTTGGTAGCTTGTTGGCTGAGCCGAGTTTGCGCATGCCGTTTCATACCAGGTTTCGATGTCTGTACCACATGTAGTAGGGTCCTTGCAATAGAAACATTTTAACGCAGAGGCTATAAAGAAGAGTGAAAAATATTTAAACCATATTAAAGAACTACACTTTATATGTTATGTTACTTACCAGTGTGCAAAATTGCAAAACAGAGGAGGAGAACAATTTTCTGCATTATCTTGCCTTTTAGAATCTTATTCAACTGAGCAAATTTGTTTATTACAGCATTGTAGGTCACAGGTCAATCATTTCTGACGTAGTTATCAAATACTGATTAAAAACTAAACTATTACTCCAGTTGAATTAGAGTTTGAACGTGAAAAAATATTAATAGACATTTTATTGTACTTTATGACGGGGGATGATAATATCAAAAAAGTAACTCGAAAGATGTGACGCTTAGTTGGCATATTGCAAATAAGTTAGGCATTTTTTCACTTTTTTACTGCCCATCAAAATCTAGACGACCTATCGGAAAATTAGTAATTTTATGTTGTAGACAATTTAAGGTAGCTAAGGTAATATTTCACCAATTTCAGTGATTCACAACTTACCCAAAAAAAAATTAGGAATAGATGCGGCATGAGAAATGGAGTCAATATCGTAAAAAAAAATATAAAATCCTTAGTTTATAGAAAACAATTATTGAAGTTGTAGTACTTTCAACCATTACATAGCTGGACAACTGTAGTCTCTAGCCTCATTCGTAATACGCGTGGAGATCCACGTGGCCTCAGCGACTCCGAATACTGAAATCCGATTTTACAGTCGTCGTTGTCATAGTGTTTACAATAGTTTTTTAGTAGTTAGTGTCAAAAATTACTTGCGTGGATAGCAACTCGGGAGTTGATGGATATCGTTTTACTTTATGGTGAAGCAATAAAACATTTGTGTTATGGCGAAACAAGACATTTGTGTTAGTTCGTAGGAACTGAGTAAAACGGACCCAAATGTGTTTACACGTCGCCTCGGTGAGCATAATTTTGAACAGTTGTAACATAAGGTATGCGAAATTATTTTATTATTTAAAAGCACAAATTAATTTTTTTAAGTAATAATAACAATAGCTGTAAAATCAGTGGAATTTGCTGATATAAAGTAGGTGCTACAAAATTCTATTTATTCCTTTCCTTGCGAAATTCTTTCAAGTTTTGGTCCGTTTTTATCACTGCCGCCCGTCGTGACGGTCGCATTGTGCCAGGTCAGATTTTACAGTGGACCAGTTTCCAGTGAAGTGCGGAAGTGTATTTTTAAATCATTTTCGAACTGCATTTTTTGTTTTTTTTACAAAATTGTATTTGTAAGAGCCCCGTACATCCAAATTTTTTTTTGGATAAGTTCTGGATCATCCTGTAAACTGATAACAAAGTATATTTGAAAATAATTGTTAAAATTCTAAGCTGCAAAGGAATTAAATCTCTATACTGGAAAATTGATCACAAATTGTTTGTTTGAGTTTGAAAAAAAAATAGCTTAATATTATAAATCATTAAAAAATATTAAACGTAAAACGATATTTTTGCTCCAAGATGAGAAAAAGCCCTTGCAACCCTTAAAAACTATAAAATTTTAGTACCTGGTATAAACGAAGAACGAATGGAATTTAAAGAGAAAAGAAACTTATATTTTATATAACCATAAGCATTTCAATCTGCTAAATCATATTTAATCGTATTATCTATTCTATAAAAATCGTAAAATTTAAAAATCATTTGCTTGGTCGAAATTTTATGACAATATATTAATTTTTAATAGAAATAACTGAAATTATCTAGCTTCGTTAAAGTAGTGTTTTCGAAAAAGTATCATTACTTGTATAGTTGTTACGATGTCAATCGGAACCTGTAAATCTTAAAGCACAGGACCGTATGCACTTCTCCTGAAATTTCTGCTTATGCTTTGACCATGATGTGTCTCGTAATTTATACTCGAATAACAATTCGGCGATCCGGTATTGGTAAACTAGTCCCCCTGATGTAGAATTGACGGCGGCGCGCTGGTCATCAAAGCAAACCTTTATTGGTCCACTAGGTCGTAAATATTTATTTTTGTATGGTACACGTGTTCACTTAGCTTTGCCGCTTTGCCAGTGCCGTGCAGAGCATTGCTTGGCGGGGTATGTTGTTGGTATAATACGTATTATTATTTATTAGTTGATAACCAGTAAAGGGTAATAGTTATTAAAATAAATGTTATATGTAATTATCTAGTAATTTAACGTGGCTCTCTGGACTCTTTGAAGCGGAAGATAACGAAATAACTCGGGAAAATCCCCAAATAGTGGGACCGGTTTTTGTCGAAAGTATCGAAACAAACTCAGAGTTTAAAAACAAAGAATTACACGTAAAAAGTCAACGTATTATATTAAATATATATGAATGTTTGAATATTGGAAATCTGGACGCTCTGTACATCGAACAGTAGCAAAGCATAAAACTTTAATAATTTTAATGTCGAAATATTTTTTTCAGATAAAATCCTGAACATGTTTGTTCATTAAAAAAAAAACATTCCCTTGTTAGTATATTCCACATTTATTTACAAATATTTATAAAACTTCACTGTAGAAATTTATTTTTTAATTCGAAATTTAAAATTATCAAATAAATTCAATATTTAATTTCAGTAATAAACAATTATACCTCACATCCAAAAATATAATAAAAATAAACACAGTTAACGAAGACATATACACGGCTTGCGGGGCTTGAACACTTGGTTTGTTTTTCAAAGCATCATCCATTTCCCACGAATCATACAAGCGAAGGGGTGGGGTGATTTTACATAAGTTTGGGCGCCGCAATCGCCAAAACGACACCGCAAAGTGCCACAAAGCTGAAACTGATGCTTTTCGCAGAATTACACAAGTCAGTTTGACACACAGGACATACAGGTTGGTCACCGGCATTTTGACAGTTGTGACTTAGTTTCCCGTCTTTTAAATTGGCTATAGTGCAACCCCTTTCTACCATCATCTTCTGTGTTGTCCTGTCTGCAAACAGAAAACGTTACTGATACTAATAGGTCATTTTATATGCACTCAATACATAAAATTATAAAGGGTGTCCCAATAATCTATGTAGATGGAGCTACCACAGATTCTTGTGATCAAAATAAGAAAACTAAATCTACCTCTTTCCTAAGTCGCCTTGTTTAACCGCTAGAGGGTATCAAAGTTGGCAAAAGAAAGTTTTTTTCAAATAACTTTGAAACGCATTTTTATATTTTTACTCCAGTCGAATTAGATCATAAAACCTGTAAACTAGAATGATAATATCAAAAAAGTAACTCGAAAGAAGTGCAAAGTTGCAAAATTACTTATGTTTTCATTTTTTTCACTGCCCATAAAAATCTAAACGACCTATCGGAAAATTAATCATTTAAGCCAGGAAATATAAAGTTGAACGCAACTTTTTGTTTCGGCAAGCTGAATTTATCACTATAGATGCTAAATATTATGTACAATAACATATTAGTTTCCACAGTCATAAAAATGGGGGGAAGATTGTTTACAGGCTGGTTAATTGTATAATTTTTACATTTCAATGTATTATTATGAAATCTACCATGAAAAAAATCGGTGCGATTGTGGAAGATGCTCGGGATCGTCCAGACTAATAATTAGTTAATTTGTTTATAAGGCCATAACTTGTAAACTATTCTACTTACCGATTCCAGATTTTGTGTGAGTTATTAGACAGTGATAAGGAATGAGAGGATGCGATACCAAAACGTTCTGGTAATAATAACGCAGTTTATAAATGTTTAATTCAAAAGTCATAAATAAACTTCTTCTGTTTATAACTTTTGATCTAATCAATATTTTTTGACGCTTGCTAGTTTTGTAGGTCTTTTGAAAACGAAAAAAAGTACTTTACTGTTTTCTCATGGAAATGAACGGAAAACATTTATAAACGAAAAACATGAATTTACGTAAAAATTATACAATTAACCAGCCTGTAAACAATCTTCCCCCCATTTTTATGACTGTGGAAACTAATATGTTATTGTACATAATATTTAGCATCTATAGTGTCAGAATTGAAATCTGAAAATTTGTATACAAGGGTTTATCAAAAAGATCTATTCAATGAAAATAGTGTCAACTTCCTCGCACTTCCGGTTATTCCGGAAGTCATCATCAGCTCTGTTATTTCAATTAGAACACTATGTAAATTTAAGCATTTTATAATTCTACAGAAAATTCTAGACTATTTTCATATAAGGTACTATGGGCCAAAATGTGACAGTTTACAAGTTATTATTAATTTTCGAAAAAAAATTGAGGGATGTAGGTCATTTTTTAAAATAGAATAACTCCGACATTTTGCTTTATTTATTAATGAAATTTGGCATGGCTAATTTAAAAGCAATGGAATTCAACCAGTTTATGTCAAATTTGCAAAAATTCATACAGAGTGTTTAAAAACATGTGGCCAATATTGTGTGACGTTGAAGTTGATATTTACTCAAAAATTTCAAATGGTACACCCTGTATATTATTACATTAATGGATGCAGAATTAAATTTATTTTATAGATTTTATGGTTCCCTAAAATGTCTACTAATAATTTTTTCACGTTCAAACTCTAATTCAACTGGAGTATTTTTTGAAATTTGGTTCATTAATACATACTTCCATATAAATATCACAAAAAAAAATAATAAAAACGTAATCATGCTATAGGTTCGATTCCTTTTTCTTAAAGATGAAGAGTTTGTTAAACATGTTTTCCTCGTGTATTTATAATAGTTTTGGGATAATTATTTTTTTATTAAATTTTTACAAATGCATTCAAACTTGAAATGACAAAAGTAATTTATTTGATGAGGAAAATAAATAAACTTGTAATAGATGGTTCTCTCACAAGAACTATTCAATATGACCACCGTTTTCTGTAATTCATAAATTAATTCTACGCAAAAAATTGAAATGCACCCTTCTCAATATTCAGTATCAACACTCACAGAGTACACTTTCTATTTTAAAACCTCCCAAATAAAAAAATTACAGGGATTTAAGTCAGGTGAACAAGGTGGCCAGTGATTTCGAGCATCATGTCCCCCGCCTATTCATCTGCCCGAGTATTGATTATTCAAATGTACTCTTAAAAACAAAAGTACAATACAATTTTTATTTTCTTTACTTTGCAGCACTGTAAAATCATTATATTGAACAGTTTTATAAGAGAACCAATTACAGGTTCCTATAAATTATAATACCTACCTTATTTAATTTCTGATATCAAATATTTTACTTTTGGAATGACGTAATAATTTCATGTTTGAATCGAAAACACGTTACTATTAGATAATAAAAGCAGTTATTTACCCAAAACTATCAGGAATACAAACATTTTTAACAAACCTTTCATCTTTATGACAAAACAGAAAATAAAATATGTAGCATTATGAACTCCCACAAAATTATGAGCAGAGTAGTTCAAAGGAGGGGGTATTTTTCACAGTCCTGCTGATGCATTTACTTCGTTTACCATGTCAGGTGATAATTTTTTTTTTGTCAACCTCTAGCAGTGAAACAACTTAGGATAGATGTAACATTAGTTAAATCTGCTTATTTTGATCATAGGAAACTGGTAACTCCATGTACAAGGAATATTAGGATGCCCTGTATCTCTAAATGTTTTGCATTTAAGGACAGTATCAAGATCATAGTATGTAGATAGGTTGGTATCGAATTCAAACACTTGAACATCGGTAATCTCTAACGTTTCAATTGTTTCACTATGACGCCTACCTACTACAGTTCTGTATCGTTAAGTGTTAAATATACCTTTATAGCTCAATTTTAGGCAGGCGTGTTGGGCGTTTGCTGGAAGAGAGACGCCACTTGTGCCACATGTCTTCTTATCCCAGGTTTTGGTTTCTGTTTCGCATGTTGGTCCCTTACAAGAGAAGCATTCTAACGCAGATGCTGTAAAAAAACAGTGGAAGTTATAGAAACTATATTATTTGAAATTGAAATTATAAAAATAAGAAACCGTGACATGTTATTAATTTATAGGGAAACACGACGTATTTGTTTATCAGACAGACGTAGATGCTGGCAGTGTTGTTCCTCGCCCGATACTCCCGTGCATGTCGGTGAGCAAGCATAGGATTTTGTTGAAACAATGTCAGTATGATCGATTGCCATTGCCAGATGTATTAAAACTACGTAAATGCTAAAACTGAAACAATATTCTAGATAAACAAGCTCGCACTTGTCGTTTCCGTTTAAAAAAATCATGCATTTAATGGCTTGATGGTTCGGTTTATTGAGGAATTTTTTAACCTTCTTTCGAATTTATCCTCAAAATGTACAGATTCAAATGCTGACGAAATAGTGACAATTTTAAAGTCTCTGACGAATTTAAAAGATCTTTGCGAGCATTAAGAACTTTACAAATATTCCTTCGGTTTGCCAGAAAAGTGCAGAAACATTAATAAAAATTTTTTCAAGGCTCGACAATTTTTTCGAGGTACAAACCTTTCTAAAAAATCCTCCGCAATAATTTAAGCACGTGTACTATTCAATAAAATGATCCAGGTGAAGGATTTTCTTTGGAGCACTATCATCACAAATACAGGGTGATTCACAAATGGTAACCAAAAATGAAACCTCGTATTCTTTGGTGAATTTTAAGGGAGTCTTTCTACACCAGGAAAATTATCGAAAAAAAAAGAGAAACTCGAAAAAATTCCTATCCGCGATATTATTGTAAAATTGTCTAAAGGAACATAATACAAGACATCTCTCATCTCGTGAGTCAAAAAATTTTAATAGCTAACTTTTCTATTTAAACAAATAAGTGAGAAAAACAATTTTTTCACTTTGCAGGGAAAACCATCAATTTTAGCGAAAAGTGACCCACAGACAGCTTGTAAGGAGTAAAATCATCTACAAAATGAGACTTGTTAAATTAAAAACGGTTAATAAACAAAAAAGTTATTGCAAAAAACAAGAAAAGTGCCCATTTTTATTTGTTTATAACTATATCGCATTTATTGTTAAAATTTTATAAAACCTATGACAAGTTGAGGGTTTTGTCATACTTTAAAAGTGTGCCAAAAGTGGGCGCTGTAGGTGCAATAGTTTTCGCACAATTCAATTTGTTTATAACGGAGGCTCCAAAAGTTATGAACTTTAAGCCTCTGTACAGGCGTTAATTTTCAACAAACATGATTCTGAAACCGTCATTGTAATCTTAAAGACGTAATTAAGCGACCTATTAAAAAATATCACCGTTTTTTTGACACTAACATTCTCAAATTGTACATTAAAAAACCGTGCGTTTTTCGCTTATAAACAATTTGAATAAAATTGTTGCTATTTGTGCTACCTCACCGAAAATAGATTCAATGGATAGCTGGCAAAAAAAATACAAATTTAAAAAAAAGCAGCCTGTATGACCAACAGGAGCCAAGATAAGAATGTTTTTTTAAAAAATCGTAGCGCAATTGTTTATAAACATTAAGACCTGAATTTTTCGCAAAATAAAGTTTACGACGTAAACTACGATTTCCCGTGAATTGCATTGAAAAATGTGGAAAATTAACGACTCACGAGCCCTTTAAAGAGAAGGTACTTGCTAAGTAAACTGTCCGGCGTGGTGATGGGGGGAAGCTCAAGTTCAAATTGATGCGCGCTGTAAAATTTTGCAAAATCTCGGCTTCTATTCATCGTAGAAACTAATTTTTTTTTAAACTGGAGTAGCTCGACGAAAAAATAACAATGGACATATTTACGAATTCGTAGAATAACCCTGAACCCCAGAAAAAATGCATATTTTAAACTTAATTTTTTTAATTTACAAAAATGTCACAAAAATTATTGTTAAACGAAATATTAATTAAAATTTCAATTTCGGAATTATTTTACTATTATTAAATAAATAAATAAAGCTATCGTTCATTTAAAAAGTTATTTTTTTACATATTAAGGCAAAGTAAACCTGTTTTTTCAATATTTTGTTAGCTAGTTAATTACGATTTAAATGTAAAATTAAAGTAAAAATTAATAAATTATTTTCGTTTTTTAAGTTTTACTCGAAAATCAGTCTTTTTTTGAAAAACACAAGGAGAGTAGTAATTTGTAGAAAATTGAAAGACGAATCCGAAAATATCATGGTTGTTACCATAAAGCAGTGGCGTACTATTTTATTTAGAAAAATATGCCACCGATACCCTGTATCTCCGCCACTGGAGCATGTAAATTTTAGGACAAGCCCTCAGATTTTGGGCAATGTTTACATAAATACATGTGCCTAATTTCAAATTATTTCACTTACTAGTTTTTAAATTATTTAAAAAAATTAAGAATATTTTTTGAAGTTTAACACTCTGTATCTTTTTAACGAAGCGTCCTACATAAAAACTTTATACGAAAGACCCCTTAAAATTCACCAAAGAATACGAGGTTTAATTTTTGGCCACCTTTTGTGAATCACCCTTTATATTCATTCAATATAGCTACTCATATTAAATAATTAATGACAGCATACAATTAGAAGTCTATAACCCAACGATGACTATGTTGCATGAACGTGGACAAAATTGGTGGAAATTTTCATTGGCTAGAAACAACAATAACATATAAAATCTGTAAATAGACCTTGAGAACACTATTTCTGGACATGACAATATAACCGGAGTGTATTAGTTTTAACAAAATAGTTGTTATACCTAAATGATGCAAATATAATAATTTTAAAACTTGGGAATGTTAGGAAATGTATAAAATCTACATGCTTATTAGAAAAATCAAAAGTAAATCTAAAGATCGTAAAGTTAGACAATGTGGTCTAAATAAACATTTATTATGCAGCTATTTGTATAATTACAAGTAATTTGCTCTTAATAAATTTAAGCAGGTGAAAGACAATTGGCAGTTACAAAGTTGTTTCTGTCCAGGTCAAGTTAAAACTTCGTTACGTTATAAAGTTTAGGGAGTTCTATCAGCCAATATTAGATCAGTTACAATTTTAAGAAACAAATAGATACTGTTTGGGTTTTAACAATTTTAAGTGCGTTTTTCTTCGTCTCTTTGAGCAGTTTCACTTCTAAACAACTTGTTAGATGTCTAGGCCTTGCTCTAGTTGAGTATTTACATATTTGGAGAATTATGACTAGATTTGTATCTATATGAAATTTGCAATAACTAGTACATACATCCTGTTGAAAGGTTTGTGCAGGGTTCAAATAACGTTCTACTCCCCTTATAACCCAATCAAATTGGATTTTTTCGTGGCAAAATTTAGATCAGTAAACAGACACGTCAAAATTAGGAAAAATCCGTAGAATTGAATGAACTACTTTTCTGTAGTTTCATTTTAAACATGGCTTTTTTTCATTTTAGAAAAAAATGTTTTAGACAAAAGTAGAACTTTTCGTAACAAAAATATTGATAAACAAGATTAGTTATTGCAAAAAACCGCATTTTTTTAACACTTCTATATCTTTAATCAAAAAAAAATAATTACGAATCTTTCAGAATAGGTAGTCCATCGAGAAATTGAATCTAATATTGCAAGATAGGGCTTTTAATATGCGAAAATGTGACGAAAAAGACTACAAAGAAGCGGTAGTTAAAACAATTTGGAACACCACCGCTAAAATGCTACAAAATAAATATTATAAAGAATTCAATATAGTATTTATATTCCAGTAAATGAAATTTGTAATACATGTAAATCAAAAGGTAATTCGTTTCAGATTGAAACTTGGTTTAATCGTTAGTTTAGGCAAAAAGAAATAATATTTCCCAAAAAGTATCGGTTTAAAACAACAAGATCACTGTTTAAACAATGATTATAATGTAAAAATTACCAAAAATTAAGTTTTTTAGCTGTATTAAAAAGCGCTCTCTAACAAGAGTTTATGCTTTTGTTTATACTTATAGGTTTTCAAAAAACGCTTCATTTGAGACCTGCTAAATTAAAATCCATTAATAATTTGTTTAAATTGCAAAAAACCATCGAAATTTGAATTTGCTATAAATAGAAGAAGAGCATAAATCGTCTCTAACCTGCAGTAAAAATTGTTCTAGGACCATTTTTAGCCGAGCTAGCGTTTTTTTTAAATTCATAACTTGTTTATTTATAAACATTAAGACTTGAAATTTCGGGAATAAATCGACGTTTCTGTCTTATTTCCTCCACCACATTCCAGGTGTAAAAATGTATTCGACGAGGTTTTTAAAGGGTTAAAAATTACTATAAAATGCATTTTTTCCGTATCTTTAACCGTCATTATGAAGTTTAAGGGTTGATTGATTTTTCAATAACTGCGTGTTTAATAATTGTACGCTCAAATTAAAATGTATTTATTTTTAGTATTTCATAAAGTTTGCATTGATATGTTTCTAAATTTCTTATTCATTAAATTGTCCTGCCGAATTACACTCGATGTTTGTATTGATACCGGGTAAATTTGTGTAGTTTAAATTCTAAGCTCAGTATCAATACAAACCTTTTGTGCAATTATGACTGAAAAAAAAACTATTTTTTGCGAACTTTGGACACCATTTTGAAAATGAAGCCCAGCTGGAGTATAATAGTTCATTCAATTGTACGGAATTTTTCCTAATATTTACGTGTCTTTGTTTATTGAACTAAATTTTGACAAAAAAACGAAGTATTTTCGACAATTTGACTTTCCTTTTGGTTTCCTTTTAGCAAAAAATGATAATGAAACTTTAAGAATTTTTTGCGATTTTAAAGCATTATATAAAAAACTAATTTTGACAAAAAACGAGGTATTTTCGACAATTTGACTGACCTATTATTCCTTTTGGTTTTCTTTTAGGAAAAAATGATAATGAAACTTTTAAGATTTTTGCGATTTTAAAGCATTATAACGAGCGTTCAAATAAAAACGTGGTCGAAGTTGGCTCTGACACATTGGACGTAGGGAGTAGCTTATAGCGACCAACTT